TTTTCCCAGTTTATTTTTCTGTCCATTCTTAAAGTACAGTGTACAATTTTCAGTTCCATAAAAAGATTACTCACTTGGTGAGGAAGTATTATAGTCCGTGTAGACACGGACTTCTTAGAATGCCTCAGTCCGAGGGAGAAGTCACAAGTACATTAATGGCCTACTTTCCCTACACCAAGAAAATTGATTTCCCCTTTGTTTCTAAGGAAAATCATTTTGAGGGTACTCACCACTATGCCATGAATGGTACTATAAAAAACGTTGGTTTAAAAATTATTTATTCCATGCAGTCTAATTTTATTCTCTTAAAGACATATTCAGTTTTAGAATGCCACTTTTTTTTTTAACTGTTTCCTTAATTTAATCTACATAAATGTTTCTACGTGCAGTCTAATGCTCACCAAGCAGTGGAAAAGTATTTTTAGCTGCTGATTCACTTTACTCTGAGTCTTATATTTTCTGGACTTGCCAAGTGTAACCTAGGAACTTATTTCCTGATTTATATCATTTACTCCTCTACTGACTAGCTTAACTTACATTTCAATGGCTGGGGCTTGAAGAAACAACTGAGTGGGATGGTGAGTCTACCAAGATATTTCCTTAAGACTCTTAACAGAAGCCTACGCATAGACATCTTAGAACGAGATTTTAAGTGAATGAAGTGAAAACCTGTTTCTCTCTTGTGGTTATTTTGGATTTTTCTATTTTTAAACTCACCTTCACATATGGTACCTCCATATAAATCAAAACTTATTCCATATTGATATATACATGATTCAAACTTACTTTTCATGATATAGTACAGTGATGAATTCAAGCTTACTTCTGCTGGCTTTTAACATTGTTTTAGTATGAAGGGGCTACTGTATTCTAACAGAATTACTATATTGTGTTAATGTATACATCTAAACTACACACACCACTATATGCCTAGCACATCCGATTAATTATGGAAATCACTTTCATTTCAATAGTGAAATTTACATGACAACAGCTTCTGGGGCTCAGTGGAGCATCAGACCAGCATGTCACAGAATTCCCGTGTAGTGTGGGTGTTGACAGGGTTCTGTTGATATTAAATTTGCAATGAAAATGTCTCATAAATGTGCATCCACATAGAACATTACTTAGAAGGAATCAGCTCAATATTCACATGGGTCATTACTGTCAGAGATGGAAAATTTCCTCACTTACATTAGGAACACAAGTTATTAAGAATATGTAATCAGCCTGGCTGGCATGGCTCAGTGGTTGAGCATTGACCTATGAACCAGGAGGTCATGGTTCAACTCCTGGTCAGGGCACATGCCCAGACTGAGGGCTCAATCCCCAGTGTGTGGTGTGTAGGAGGCAGCTGATCAATGATTCTCTCTCATCATTGGTGTTTCTATCTCTCTCTCTCTCCCTCTCCCTTCCTCTCTGGAATCAATAAAAATATATTTTTTAAAAAGTTATCTTACATATTATAGATGACCTGAAAGATTTGCCTTAAATGTTTAGAAAGCATGTTCAGATATAGAACTGTCACCTTTGTGTTCTCCCCTATTACTGTATAAAGCCTTTTGTATCCTGCAAATCATGAATAAATGTGAGATGAAGACTCTAAATCAGGCAACAGAATGTACTGGTCCAGAGGGGTTATAATAGGGAATAAGTATCAAGACAAAATAGAACAGAGGGATAATTAGGCTGAATATTACAACAAAGTTCTTAATAGGGAGAACTATTAGACTGTGAAATAGTCTTTCAAATGCACTGGAAAAAGACATTACTCGAGCCATTTAAAATCAGACTGGACTGAAGTACTCCAAAATGCAGTATGCGATGGGGACCAAGCCTACATTAGAAGTGGAAGGAGGAGAATGACCTAATAGCTTCTACCGTCTGTGTGATTACTATGATTGTACTCATTTTATGTGTTCAGTCTTGGTGGAAAATCTTCTGTCATTTTATGCTACTTCGAGGGAGCAATTTCAACAATTTATCTAATGTAGAATTGGATGCATTTTAGCAGCATCTCAGAAAAGATGAAAATGCACAATAAACAGTGTAAAATAGCGAAGCATGAGTAAACACTACTCCTTTACTTTTGGGAGGGACCCCTGGAGAAAACAATTCTCACCCTGGAACTCTGGCCACATTCCAATGTGCATAAATGCATCCTGTCTGCCTGGCTTTCAGGTATTAATTTTCATTTCTGTTGTTTAATGGTATCTTGGGATGATGTGGAGTACAGGACAACAAATTGAAACCTTTCATCCCCAGGTCAATGACCACAGTTTGGCAGGAGGTAGGTAGGACCCTGGAGAAAAAAATCTTGCAACATTTTGTGACTGATACCTATTAGAGAAATGGACAGGAAAGAGAAAATGGTTTAATTTTAAGAAAAGAGTTTGACATGAAATAAGGAAGAGGAAAAGGTATTCAGGGAAGTTGTAAACATGTTATTGCTGGACATCTTTCAAAAGAAGACCATCCTCAGTCTTGTGCAGCTCTGGTGATCACCTGTCCTGAAGTAGAGAAGTGAGGCAGGTGACCTTTAGACATTTATCCTCGTTTTTTTATTCAATAAAAATATCAAATTTTATTACAATTCAATTTTATCCTATCTTTTCATTTGTTCAACCCACCAATTCTAATTGCAGTAATACAAATTTAGAGATGGGATGATTTTGATGTTTGGTCATTGTGAGGTAAATGATTTGACTTATTATTTCTTTTCATGTGTACACCACAATTTTTAAAACGACCATCATACACAAATGAGTGGATCATTGAAAATATTTTCATTATTAATAATATTTTATGTTTGTGTAGCTTCTCATATTTTCTCAATTTACTAATCACATATTCCTGAATTATGAAAAATATTCAATATAAATTGAGGTCTCTACCCCCCAAGCCTCCCCCCCCCCCCCCCTTGAAGTGTATCCTATTCCTGTGTTGGCATAATTTTCAATGATTTCATTTGTAAGGATCTAGCTCATAGACCAAGAGATTTTATACAAACTTTTTTTGGGGGGGGGGAGGAGAAGTGGAGACTGTCAATACTAAAAGGTATTCTTACCATTTATCCTTTTGTTTAGCCCAATGAACCCCAAGCCTCCCCCCCCCGCCCCCTTGAAGTGTATCCTATTCCTGTGTTGGCATAATTTTCAATGATTTCATTTGTAAGGATCTAGCTCATAGACCAAGAGATTTTATACAAACTTTTTTTGGGGGGGGGGAGGAGAAGTGGAGACTGTCAATACTAAAAGGTATTCTTACCATTTATCCTTTTGTTTAGCCCAATGAATGTAGATATTCTAGCATTTTTGTTCTTTTATTTGTGAAAAATAAGTTTCGAGACTTTTTCTCCTTAGTTTCCATCCTGAGCACCTGTGCTATTCTGAATAGAAATCAAGTAAGCGTTAGGGCAGAATCATTCAAAATATCCTTAGAGTTCTGCTGCATGATCAGAACCTGAAAGGATGGACAGCTAAAACCTACAGGTGTGAGAAATCTTTATAAATGCAAGATACTGGCGTTATGAAAGGGAAATATCACTTTATTAAGGTCTAGTGTACAATAGTTTCCAAAATCTGTTTAAATTCCACTGGCCTATTTTGAGAAAAAAAAAAGGTGCCTAGCACTATAGAATCATTAAGTAATAGCCTAAACCTCTTTGGTAGGAGCTGTATAACCCACAGTTTAGCATAATGGCAATCTAAGTGTTCTCATTATAACTATATTAATTAAATTTACACAAACAATTAGAGTTCAGGTAGCAGCCTTAAAATAAGTGATCAGATAAACCAAAGCAGACTTAAATGTAGGGAACTGAACCATGTTTCTCTACCAATAAATGCTTTATTCTCCTCAAAGAAACACCATATAGCTCTACTGACCAGTTCTAAGATCAGCTAGCACAAATAAATTGAAGCAGAGAAACTCAAAGTACTAAACTATTGCTGAGGTCTTTAAGTCACACTAGCTTCAACTCACATTGACCTCAACTTTGAATATACATGTAACTACACCAGTATGTGTCAAACACAGCATTATTCAAATAACAGTAGAAAAATTTTATTAGCAATTTAGCTGAGCACTTGGCCACAGATTATTAGAAGTGTGCCGTTTTGTTATTTGTTATCAAAATGTATACAATGCTTGAAGATACTTACAAGGCAGGGGCATGTCCCCTTAAGATATCTACCTAAAACTGTCACGCCTTGGGGAATCTCCCACGCTTTTTAACCCAGGAAAGAAACTAGAAGAAAATCTAAATGAAATCCTTAAGAAACAAGCTTCTTGGATATATTACATAGTCTATTTCTAGACCGCGAATCCCCCGACCTCTGAGTTATCTCACTGTCAGATAAGAAAATGGAACAGGAGAGATGAAGAGATAGATGCTCTCAGTTTGGCGTTTCGATTTTTCACTCAAGCCAAAGGGAGCAAAGTGCATAGAGTGAGGGATCATTTCCAAGAGTGTTTGCAGCACAGCGAACCGCTGGCCGCCTCTCCCTGCAGAGTGCATCCCGGCTGCAACACGGACCAAGTCCCGCTACCCGCTGCCCACCTCGCCCGGCGACCTCCACACCCACACGAAACAGCCGGTGTGGCAGCCAGTCACCGCAGGGTTTCCTGGGCACAAAACCTGAGGAACCCCCAAATCGAAATGTATCCTGAGCCCAGCACAGGGCTGGCGGTGGTTGGCTGATGAGCCTGGTCTCTCTGGGGGTCTGCGAGCATCAGTGGTCCCTCCACCTCGCTCATCTTGGCTGCATCCTATGCCCTCAAAGCTGCCTCCCGCCCGGAGACACAGAAGTGCGCGCACACACACAAACTCTCACTCACGCACACCCACCCACATGGCCTCTGCCCCCCACCCTCCCCACCCCTGCAACACTGTAGGGACCGGTCTGTGCTCTGCCTCAACTTTCCCGGCTGCACCTGCCCCACGCGGCGCCCTCCCCGGGCGCCCTCCAGAGGGACACGTCCTGCTCTGGACCCCTTACCTGGCACTGACAACTCCTGGCAGGGACTGGAGCTGACCGTGGTGGCAGCGGCGGTGGCTGAGCCTGCACCCGGGCTCTGGCTCATGGTTGGTCCTCCTCATCCGACACAAAAGAGGTAGCTTGCTGGCTTTGTCCTTTCCAAATGCCAGGGAGAACTTCTTCTGCCCCCGAGATGGCCAACTTGTGCGCGCCGTTTCCCGTCACAGTGCCCCCTGCCCCTGCCACCGCCCCCTCCCGGCTGCGAGCTGGACCACTGCCCGGTGGCAGCACATCCAGGCCTCCCAGTCAGTGGGGAGTGGGGAAAGGGAGGGTGGGAGGAGGAGACGAAGGAGGTTGGGAAAAGGGGGAGACCCAGTGGTCTTCCAGGGAGGGCGGGGGAACAGTTCCCAGCTGAGCCCCTCTCCTCTTTACAGGCAAACACACTTCCCAGGCGCGGAAGCAACTTTCCTTCACCTTGGCCGGGCTAAAGCCACAGCATCTGACTGGGACTGCCGGCAGAGGCAGGGACCTGGCATTCTCTCCTTTCCTCCCTCTCTGGTTCTCCTCTCCCCTCCCCCCTCCGCTCCTCCCTCCCGCTTATAGGGGTGTATCTGCAGAGTCTTCGGGGAGCTAGGGTACCTAGACGAGAGGACTGTTGAATGGAAATCCGGAGAGGTTTTGCCGGACCTTCGCCTCCCTCTGAAATCCTTAGGCAGTGCACGCCAAGGTTGGGGATGTCGGAGGGGCGGGGTGAAGGGGCGTGGGGCGGCGGGAGATCTGCGGCTCTAACTTTGAAGCTCTGCTCGAGCTCCCGGCCTGCAGGAGAGCGAGTACTCGCCGTCAGCCCAGGAGAAGGTCTCCCGTGGTCCCCTGGCACCCGGCTCACCGCACGCGAGAGGGGAAGGGAGAGCGGGAGCGGAGGGGGAGCGAGAGAGCCTGGGAGGCCGGTGTGCAGCTCTGCCCCACACGCAGCTCAACTGCACATTGCAAGCCCCTGGAGAGGGCTTGTGCAGAACAATCTCTGGGTCAGGCGGGCGGAGACGCTCCCGTTTCCTAGCAACCCTCATCAATCTTCACTGGATTGCTCCCTCTGAAGGAATTCGATTGGACAGCCCCTGGAGGGAAGACACGCCCCTTGAAGAATGCTGGGTTGCTGCTTTTTTCGCATTCTCCAAAATTTCTTGGGTGGAATAAGATTAGAGGAGAGTGCTGAATTGTCTCCCTCCTTGTCCCTCTATGCTGCCACGCCGCCCCCGTGCAGCGACCCCCCACACACAGGAGTCCTTTTTTAGTCCTCCTTGTGGTTAGCAATCCCAGTCAACGTTCTCCACAGAACCCCTTCTTTCTTCTTAAAATTAAATAAATAAAAACCTTAAACCGGTGACGTAGGCACAAAAGAAAAAAAGGCAAACGAAAATAGCTTGAATCGACTCTGAGCTTCAGATTAAATCCTAAAGGTAACATTCCAGGCATCTTTCCATGTTTAGACACCTTGTATTTAATTTCAAAATTGAAACTTATGAAATTTCCCAACCTGATATACTAACTTTGTGTTAATCAGGGACTGAGTGATATGTAGCCTGAGACAATTCAACTTCATTCTTTAATGCTACCTTTATTTTTTAATATTTAATGTTAAGTTGTTTAACAATTGCCTCTTTTGTAACCTAGCCAAAACAGGTAAACTACAGAAATAATTTTTACCACTGGTTCCTTTAGAAACTAACAATATTTAGAAGACACGTGAACTTATACAGCTATTCCATTGTGAATGCTATGAAAACTAGGAACTTGAGTATTTTAAAAATTAAAATATTACTAAGTAGTAAAACTCTAAATATTGCAAAGTCCGCCTTCCAACACTATTCTACCTAGAATGCAATAGTCATGTCAAAATAAAAGCCAAATCGCTCGTCCTTTGCATTTCATTACTATTATCTAACATGTAATGCTTACCACAAACACATTGGACTTTCATAAGAGAAAATTTTCGCAGTGTTTGTCCAATAGGCAACTGTACATCCAAGAGCAGTGACACAGCAATGGAGAAGCTAAAGACCTACACATTGCAAGGGCTTCATACAGCATGAAGCCATGTTAGCAGCTCTTGGTTTCATTCAGAATCTTCCAGAAGATTCCATTTTGCTTTTCAAAAACTTTATCAGAATCACTTGAGATTGAGAGAAGTAGAAGAGAGTTGATATTTGTACCTCATTAAAAAAGGAAAGTAGCTGTGTTTGCACAAAATAGTATAGACTGAACTGCATTGGCATAGCCTGCATCTAGGTGGGGTTTTTGTTATTTTTTTTTTAACACACTAAAGATGGTGATGTGTAAAAGCTGAAATACTGAAGCAAATAATCAATATGTTATCAGATCTGGCTTTATGAAACACTTTCCTTTTCCCCCTGCCACATAGGTACAAAGAAATGATGAACACGGGGCTTTGTAGCCTGGTTGTAGCATTTGACTGAATTTGAATCCTTAATTACTATCACTTCCTAGCCGTGTGACTGTGGTCAAATTTCTTAACCTCACTATATCTCGGTTTCATCATCTGTAAAATGGGACAAATAATTGCTCACCCCTCAGTTATTTTAGGATTAATAAGTACTTGTAAACAACATGCAAATACTAGTTATGATTATTAGTCTCTATTAATATTTTAACTGTTAAGCCTATGTTATATTTAATTGAAAGCAATTAGTTTCCTACTTTAACTCTTCCCTTTTAATTTAAATTCATCATTGACTGGGAACGTAGCTTTAACTTTAATGTAAAATTGTTGGTGTGTGTATGTTGTGTGTGTGTGTGTGTGTATACTAGTATACACATTCATGCTTTCAGATTTTTTTTTATTTTCCAAAATTTTTAGAGCCTCAGGGGATAGGACTAAATGACTACATCTGGCTAACTGGCATGTCCATTAGGAAATGACATCTCTTTCCCCCCACTTCACCCAAGTATTCTAATGGCTCTATTTATAAACAATTCTACTCCCCTATTTTAAGTACCTCTGGCATAGCATGTTTATCTTTATCAAGGTTTTTCAAGTCAAACACATGTATTTGGATATCTAGACCACTCTTCCTAGTTAATATTTTATATTACTTTGATTACTTTTTACTAATCTTTCTGTATTTATTTGAATGACTATGATATTTCTTCTTAGGACCCCCTACAGTTAATGTCCTGACTTTTGTTATACTACCTTTTACTTTAAAAAATAATATGTTTTTATTGATTTCAGAAGGGGAGGGAGAGGGAGAGAGAAATAGAAACATCAATGATGAGAGGGAATCATTTTTCGGCTGCCTCCTGCATGCCCCATACTGGGCATCAAGCCTACAACCCAGGCATGTGCCCTGACCAGGAATAGAACCGTGACCTCCTAGTTCATAGGTTGATGCTCAGCCACTAAGCCATGCCAGCTGGGCTGCTATACTACCTTTTAAATATGGCCCATAAAGCATACCATCTTTCATTCAGAAATAACAGAGAGTTAATGTGCTGTCATTATTAATTACAAATGAAATGCCTTCTATATCCTTATTCTGATCCAGACTGCACTCTCACTAGTATTCCCTTTGGAGCAAATCCCCATTGGCTCAATCCAGAAATCAATTTCATTGTTGGTTTCTCCTATCAGTAAACATTGTGCTGTTTTTATTATTATTATTATTATTATTATTATTATTATTTGTGGGGAGATCAAATATCCAGTTTATCCGAGACAGTTCTGGTTTACATCTATTGTGTGGATGTATTCACAGTGCACACTTTATTTTTCAAAAATTCAGGTCTGATCATTAAATTATAGTCACCAGAACCTTCTAATTATCTGGCCAATATCTCTTGCCTGAGCCTTCCCTTGCTCCATCTGCCACGTGACTATTAAATTCCTCTGTGTAACTAACTCCTTTTCCTGGATGGGACTAATCAATTCTGGAGTCCTAATACATATATCTATGTAAATATATAATGTATGTATAAAATATTACAACTTATATTTAATTTGCTTATAGATATTCCTCATTTATTTTTCAATTCCTTTCTAAATATGTTGCCCCTTGAATCATCTGTAAAATTTGATTTTATTTACTGTTACACAATGTGAAAACAAAAATATTAGTCTTAATTTTGATTGAAGCTTCAAGGCAAAAGGTGTCAACTATTTCATATTCCAAAGCAAGAGTTGCCAGACACTCTGTGCTGGACTTGAGTGGAGTATCTTTAAACCACATGGATCATACAAGAGCTAAAGTTCAAGAAGATGGCAGAGGAAGGAAGTTGGTAGGTTGGAGATGGGAGTGTGTATGCTTTTTCCTCACTTGAACTCTAGTGAGGGATGCTGCTGCTTCAGCGAAACCGTTGCTATATCCCTGGAATTAGGGTGATGCAATAGACTGCTTTTTAATTCATAGCAGAAGAATATAAAATACAAGAGGCTGTGTGTTGATCGGTCTCCCAGAGGGCTGAAAGAAAAGAAGGCTGGACTTGGTGTGACTGCACTCCCACCTATGACAGATAAAAGGGTTTCATTTCCTTGATACTATGTGATGGGAGAGTGAACACAGCAGAACATGTTTTCTTAGATCCTAAGCAGAAGGTTCTGGTGGAGAAACTTTGGATCTCCAGTAGACAGTTTGCCCAGTGGTTGAGTGTCGACCTATGAACCAGGAGGTTATGGTTCGATTCCTCGTCAGGGCACATGCCTGGGTTGTGGGCTTGATCCCCAGTGTGGGATGGGCAGGAGGCAGCCAATCAATGATTCTCTCTTATCATTGACTAGAAGCCCAGTGCATGAATTCGTGCAGCACTGGGGTCCCTTGGCCTGGCCTGTGGGATTGGGTTGAAACCAGCTCTCCGACATCCCTTGAGGGGTCCTGGATTGCAAGAGGGTGCAGGCCAGGCCGAGAGATCCCACCAGTGCACAACTGGGGCCCGGGAGGAACACGGGAGGTTGGCCAGCCAGGGAGAGACCGAACAAGGGCTTCAGGGCGTGCCTGACCCGTCTCACTCTGTCCTGATTGGCCGGACCCCAGTAGCAAGCTAACCTACCGGTCAGAGTGTCTGCCCCCTGGTGGTCAGTGCACATCATAGCAAGAGGTTGAGCGGCCTTAGCATTTCATTAGCATATTATGCTTTGATTGGTTGAATGGCTGACTGGACACAGCATATTAGGCTTTTATTATTAGGATGTTTCTATCTCTCTCTTCTCCCTCCCTCTCTGAAAGCAATAAAAAATATTTTTAAAAAAAGAAAAAGAAAAAATATCCTCAGGTGAGGATTAACAATAACAACAAAATCAAGTCAGATTCTCCAACAAGACATCCCCAGAGTCTGAGGGTCTTCAAAGAACTGATTAAATTGGGATTTAAAAAGTCAGCTTTGAATACTTGCTAAGCCAGGAAAAAGCAATGCCAGATCAGTACTGGTCAAATAGGACTTTTCTTGTCCCTTCTAACCTTCTATCTCTGACCTCTTTAGCTCTGAGGGATCAAAAGCTCCATCTGATGATTAAGGTGGAGGGAAGATGAGGATGAGGAACTGGCTGAGCAAAGAAAAGAGCAGGCCAGGTCCTATTGCAGGCCTTTCTCCTACTGCTTTCCCAGGGGAAAGGAGCATCTTCAGTGCGATGAGCATTGGGAATTGGATTATTACTCTGCACTAATTCTACCTGAGTCCAGTGTTTTGTTTTTCTTTTTTTGGGTTTTGGTTTTTTGGGGGGAGGTGTTTATTTTTGTACTAAAGTGAAGGGAGGAATTTTTATCTGGGAAAAATCTGAAAGTCAAGGCACTGGCTTTGAATTAAATCCAAGAGGATAGAGAAGAACAAGCCCCATAGGCAAGATTATGCAGGTGCGATGGTGATAAAGAATGCAATGGTTTTTTGTGGTGCTTTATGAAACTCACTTGTTAGGTATATAAATAGTCTCATCTGTACTTTTGATTCTTTGGCATTTTATCCCTGATTCTTTTAAGGGAAAAT